TTAATGCAATGGAGACTAAGAGAATGATACAAAAAAAATGAATAATCGAAGAGTTGGTTTTTTGAAAGAATAAGTGAAATAGATAAAAAAGGAAAGAAAAGTCTCAAATTCATGCAAGTAGGAATGAAAAAGGTGAAATCACATCAGAACCACTGGAAATCCAAAGGATCATCAATATCTATTTCAAAAACCTATACTCTAATAAAATGGAAAAATACAAAAAAAAATGGACACATTCCTAGATATGTATGAACTTCCAAAGTTGAACAAAGAGGATATAAAAAGTCTAAACACCCCAATTACATTCAGTGAAATTGAAAGTGTAATTAAAACTTTACCAACAAAGAAAAGCCCAGGCTCTGATGGCTTCACTGCTGAATTCTACAAGACATTTAGAGAACTATTGCCACTACTCTTTAAACTCTTCAATGAAATTGAAAGAGAACCCAATACTTCCAAATTCATTCCTGGAAGCAAGTATTATTTTGATTCCAAAACCAAGGAAAGACCCAACCAAAAAACAGAACTACAGAGCCGGGGGGTTGGCTCAGTGGTTCTGCTGCTTTGCCTCTCAAGATCAAGGGCCTGAATTCAATCCCCAGTACCAAAAGCAAAAAACAAAAACAAAAAAGGGAACTACATGCCAATCTCCCTAATGAACATAGATGCAAAAAATCCTCAATAAGATGCTGGCAAACAGAATACAGAAGATTATCAAGATCATACACCCTGACCAAGTCAGATTTATTCTAGGGATGCAAGGATGCTTCAATATACATAAATCAATAAATGTAATACACTATATTAACAGAGTCAAGGAAAAAACTATATGATCATCTCAATAGATGCAGAAAAAGCATTTGACAAAATTCAACACCCGTTCATGATAAAAACCCTAAAGAAAATTGGAATAGATGATCTTTATCTCAAAAAGATAAAGGCTGTCTATGAAAAACCAACAGGCAATATTCATGCTAAATGGTCAAAAACTGAAAACTTTCATGCTAAAATCAGGAAAAAGACAAGGATGTCCACTATCACCACTCCTGTTAAATATAGTCCTAGAAACATTAGCCACAGCAATTAGATAAGAGAAAGAAATAAAAGGAATAAAGATAGGAAAGGAAGAAGTTAAACTGTCACTGTTTGCTGATGATATGCTACTCTACATAGAAGACCCAAAAAACTCTGCCAAAAGACTGTTAAACTTAATTAACAGATTCAGTAGAATAGCTAGATACAAAGTCAACACTCAAAAATCAATAGCCTTCTTGTACACAAATAGACTCACTGAGAGAGAAACTAGGAAAACAATTCCTTTCACAATAACATCAAAAAAATGAAATATCTAGGAATCAATCTAATGAAGGAGACAAAAGACCTCTACACTGAAAATTACAGCACTTTGAAAAAAAGACATAGAGAAGTTATAAGAAGATGTAAAGACATTCCTTGCTCCTGAGTAGGAAGAATCAACATAGTGAAAATGGCCATACTTCAAAAACTTCTATACTGATTCAATGCAGTCCCAACTGAAATCCCAACAGTATATTTCACAGAACTTGAGAAAACAATCAAAAAATTCATTTGGAACCAGAAGAGACCTAGAATAGCAAACACCATTCTAGACAACAGAGTCATGGCAGGGGATATCAAAATTCCCAACTTGAAACTATACTACAAAGCCACTGTGATAACAGCATGGTACTAGCAAAGAAACAGACCAGAGGATCAATGGAATAGATTAGAAGATGTGGAAACAACACTAGACATACTAGGCTACCTTATCCTTGACAAAGGGGCCAAACATCCTCACTGGAAATATAGCCTCTTTAATAAATGGTGGTGGAAAAACTGGCTTTTAACTTGCCAAAGATTAAAACTAGATCCCTATGTTTCACCATGCACTAAACTAAAATCCAAATGGATTAAAGATCTAAATATCAAAACATAAACAGTAAACTTACTGGAAAGTAAGTTAGGTAGAACTCTCAAAGACATTGGCATATGAGAAGACTTTATGAACAAATCCTCAGCAGCATGAGAACTTGCACAAAGAATCAACAACTGGGATCTCATTGTATTAAAAAGTTTTTGCAGTGCAAGGGAAATCACCAACAGAGCTAAGAGACAACCTACAATGTGGGGGAAAAAATTTTATCAGCTACTCCTCAGACAAAGGACTATTATCTAGAATATATAAAGAACTCAAAAAAATCAGACCCCCCCCAAATACAAAGACCCTATTCAAAATGGGCCTCTGAAATGAGCAGACATTTCTTGGACAAAGAAGTAAAAGCAACAATAAATATATGAAAAAATGTTCAACATCACTGGTCACTTCAGAGATACAGAAGAAAACAACACTAAGATTCCACCTCACCCCAAGAAAGAATGGCTACTATCAAGAAATCAATCAATAACAAATGCTGGCGGTGATGTGAGGAGAAAGGTTGTATCAGACTGGTACAACCTCTGTGGAAATCAATGTGGAGATACCTCAAATAACTAGTATTAGAGATTCCATTTGACCCAGCTATCCCTCTGCTGAGTATCTTTCCAAAAGATTTAAAAGAATCATACCACAGAGATATATTTGCACCCATGTTTATTGTATCACAGTTTGTAATAGCTAAAACTTGGGAACAACCCAAATGCCCATCAACTGGAGACTGGATAAAGAAGATGTGGCTTTTTTTACAACGTGAAGTACTACTCAGCCACAAAGAATGAGAAACTAGAAACATTTATAGCTAAATGGATGCACATTGAGGCTATACTCTTAAGTGAAATAAATAGGACACACTTGAGTAAATACCAAATAGTTTTCCTGGTATGAAAAACTAAAAGTATAAAAAAGGTTCAAATGGTATAATTGTGAGTTTAAAATAGGAAGAAAATGGCTAAAGGGGAAGTGGGAAGGGGAGGGAAAAGGAAATAAAGGAAAAGAAAAAATGTGAAAAAAAATGGAAACAAAGTCTTTGTAAATAGGGAAGGGTGAAGGGGTGAAAAAGGGCAGGGATATGGGGAAAAAACAAGAAGCAAGATATATCATGTAAAGGTGCAAAATCCCAGTGATAAATGTAACTGTATTGTTTGCTTTAAATGTACCAATAAACTTAATGGGGGAAAAAAGAACAAAGTTAAAGATTTACATTACTTGACTGTAAAACTTATTATAAAGCTTTAGTAATTGAGAGGGCAAGATAGCATGACATTTGGTGCCATGAAGACAGATCAATAGAATACAATATTCTAGAAACAGACTCCCATTTTTGACAACGGTGGAAAAGAAATAATTGAAAATGGTTTGCATCCAGAATGAAGAACTCTAAAAACTCAATCATAAGAAAGGGAAGAGGGGAGGGATGAGGGAGGAGAGAAGAAGAGAGAAGAGGTAAGAAGAAAGGAATGAAGGAAGGAAGGAAGGGGAGGAGAGGGGAGGGGAGAAAATAGAAGAAAGGAAAGAGGAAAGGAAGGGAGGAAGGAAAAGCTTCCAATTCCCAAGTCATGATCCCCTTTTGTTCTCTCTACACCATTTAGAGTCTTCACCACTCAACTAAAGGTTCTGGTTAAACATCAGTTAGATCATGCCTCCTTCTCACCGACTCCTCCAATGACCTCTCCTCTCACTCAGAGTAAGCTCCAATAACCCTTATGGTGGTTGTATTAGTCACTTTCCCATTGAAGGCACAAAATACACAACATCCACAATTTAAAAGAGAAGAGGTTTATTCTGGTTCACAGTTTCAGTGGATTCAGTCCATGGTCAACTAACTCCAAGGCAGAACAGCATGGTGGAGATAAGCTGCTCATGTCATGGAGGCCAGGAACAGCGAGAAAGGAAGACTTGAGAACAAGAATATATCTTTCCTGGTCACATCTCCAGTGACCCACCACCAAATACATGAGACTTTGGGGGAACATTTTAGATCTAAACCATAAAGATGGAATTTCCTCTCCATCACCCCCAGTCTCTTTTCTCTTCCAATCATTTCTCCACCTTGACCCCTTCAGTGCTCCTTTCTAGTCACACTCATCTCTGGGCTGTTTCTCCAATATGTTAAACTTACTCCTGCCCCTATTGCTCTGACAATTCCCTCTGCCTACACATGCTTCTCCCAGATAAACACACCACTGCAAGTCTTTAGAGTCATTCTCTTTCAAGGATATCTCCTTTCTGCTCTCTTCTCAGTCCTGAAAACTTAGCAAACAGAACCGGTTGGTTTTTAAACAAGCACAAACCACTGTTTGGGGTCTACCTGTTCATAGCCAAAAAAAAAAAGCTCAGCCCAATAGAGCCTATCACTCTAACAACCCCTGTGCTGAGATTCTCCCTTTGCCCCTTCAAATCGCCACCCTATCCAGCTTTGTGAAAGTGATCCTCTCTCCTTTGGCCCACTTCCCCCAAATCTTATCCCTGCTGCTGTATGCCCTGTACTGTAGTTGGGGTCTAGATTGTCCTCCATGAGCCCATGTGGCAAAGGGCTTGGTCATTAGAATGGTGCTATTGAGAGGTATGGAACTTCTAAGCAGAGGGGTCTAGTGAGGTTTTCAGGTGTGTCCTCAAAGGGAATGGGAAACCCCAGTTATTTCTTCTTTCTCCATTATGGCTTGTGTCTATATGTCCCCCCAAAGCCTCATGTGGTCATAGGTGGGGCTTTTCAGAGGTAGCTGGATCCAGAGTGTGTGATCTAGGATTAAGTGTGTGATGCTGGGGTCACGATGTGTAATTACTAAATTAGTCCACTGATTGGTTCGATATAGTTCTGAGTGTAGATCATAGGAAGACTGTGCACTTCTGATTTATGATTGAAGTTTAATGCTTGGGTGGATACAATTCTATTTTCTAAAACAAAACCCTGCAAAGATGTAGACAGGGAGCTGCATTCACAAGGAGCTACTGGAGGAAATGGCCCCAGAAAACTGGAGAGAGAGTAGGCAGGAAGAGATGCCTCTGGACTTTACGGAACTCACTCTGAGAGCCTTCCTGTTTCCAGGTGTCTAGATTCACAGAAGCGCATTTGTCCTGCTTCCCAGAAAAGAGATGCTGCTAGACAGCAGAGGTTCTCAACTTTAGCACTATGGACATTTGGGGACAGGTAAGTCTCTGTGGGGTCTGTCCTATGCATTGCAGGGCTTTTGATAGTGTTAAGGGTTGAAAGGTTTCTCCAAAAGAATTCATGTCTGTGTGGAACCTCTGAATCTTTCCAGATGTAATTAGTTCAGGATTTTGTGATGAAAGATTCTAAATTTACAGTTGGCTCTAAATCCAATAATCTATATTATTATTTTTAATAAAAATAAAATTAAAAGAATAACAACGCATTTGATAGCTGATGAGAAGAGTAGGGGACACATGAAGACACAGGGAAAGGAGGCCACTCAGACACAGAGGAAGGGATAGGGACATTGCAGCCATAAGCCAAGGAACAGCAAGGTTGACCCAAAGCCATCAGAAGCCAGGAAGAGTTGGGAAGAATTCTAATAAATCTTTGTTGCTTTTGTGGTCATTTGTTACAGCAAACTTGGAAACTAATGCAAGCAGCAACACCAGTGCTACCCACAAGATACCCATATCACCTTCCTGGTTTATGACAAACAAAAATGTCTCAGGTGTTGGCAAAGGTCCCCAACAGTTTGGGATCCCCACACACCCACTGCTCTAATGTGGCAGATAGGATGGGAAAAAAAACAGAGCAGAATGAGATGAAATTGGATTTCAATTCTAGCCCCACCTAGAATAGCTACGTGACCTTGGACAAGTTGCTTAATTTCTCCAAACCTCAGTCTTCCCCTAAGTAAAACAGGGTTCAAGGAGGTGCCTGTATCTCACAGAATCATCAAGCTGATGTAACAAGATGTGTAAAACATGCTTTGCATAGCATCGAGCACACAGCTAGCACTCAGTACACAGTAACTGAAACAATAATGGGTATAAATGTTTTTATTAAGTAATGAAAATATTACCTAATAAATATATTAAGAAATAACAATGGTGATTATCACTATTATGATTTAAAGCCTACAAGCCAAGTCAGTTTGTCACGTAATTGTGTACAATGAATGACATGCCAGACTGGGGCAGTGGCTCCTCCTAGGTGGAGAGGTGCTGGGGTGTCTGTCTGGTTGTCACACTTTCCAAATTGCTAATTTTTCTTACACCACTCCATTTGAGAGGCATAGCATAGTCATTTAAAATGTTTGTCCTCATTTTACAGAGGTGAAGACTAAAGAATAAAAACATTGTAAGTCTTATCCAAATTTTTACAGCCAGTGGTCAAGCCAGGACTGGAACTCTAGGCCATTACAATGAAATGCTCCTAACTCCCCAACTTCAATCCATCACCTTCCTCATATCTCCTAGACACCCAGAACTACTGCCCTAAAAGAACTTGACTTGAAGAATGACCTACAGCTTAGAGTGACTGTAAATTCAACATTGCTCTCTTCCAGGACATCTGCTCAGCACCTCCAGCCGCTTACTAGTTGTGTAACATGGAAGAAGTCACCTCACCAAGGCTCATTCCTCAAAATCAGATTGCTGCCCCCTTACAGGTATGTGTCCTTGTGTGCAATACAGAATCAGGAGACAATTCCATAAGAGCTCAGCACAGGGCTTGGAACCTAAAAATGACCCAGTCCTTTCACCAACTATAGAAATAATCCCTGAAAGTATAGCCTTAACCCAGTCCTTTCAACTAACTTCTTTCTCATCATTGGTCATGAGCCAAATCCCATCCTCCTCCTTCATCAAATTTCCCAGGAAGCTCTCTGGGCTCAGATGAGGAAAAACAGGAAGTGGAAAAAAGAAAACAGTCCCTTTCTTAGGGTATTCATTTTTATTTCAAAATGTATCTAAGAAAATATACACAGATCATAAGTGTGCAGCTTGACACACTTCAAAACCTAAACACATTTGTGTAACCAACAAATGACTGAAGAAATAGGACATCATTGGCTTCCACAATCTCCCAAAAAGTTCTTACACATCATCACTACCCCCAAGAGTAACTCTAAAACTAGGCATTAGTGTGGTCTGTTTTTCTGTATATGATAAATGGAAGCATGCAGCCCATACTCCTTTGTGTCTGGCTTCTTTCACTCAACAACATGTTGATGAGAGTCAACCATACTGATGTGGGTAATTATAGGCCATCCATTCTTGTGGCTGGACAATATTCCATTGTGATTACCCACTCCACTGTTGAGCATTTGGGGAGTTTCCAGTTTGGGGCTGTTGTAATAAGTGCTGCTATGCATATTCTAGTATATATTTTGGTGAACATAGGTATGCATTTCTGTTAAGTATACACTTAGAAGAATAGCTAGGTCATAGTGTGTTCAACTTTGGTAGATGCTGCCAAATTGGTTCCCAGAATGCTTCTACCACATGTTCAGTGGTATGGCATTCGGTGCCCTAATTCCCCAGGAGTCAATTATTTGTTTACATACACTCATGAAACCCAGATCTGTGCCAGACACAGATAAACAATTGGAATGCCACGGTGAAAGGCCCTAAACTACTGTTGGGCCCATGTGCCCTGAGCTCTATTCTTCACCTTTCTGTGTGTGTGTGTGTGTGGTGTTGCAGAGATGGAATGGAGTGGGACCAAGCACTATGGGCGAATTTCCCAGATACAAGCTTCAAGGACAAGATTCTTTCAAAAGCTTATTCTAGTTTTGTGAAGCTAGCATGAGGTGTGTACATTTGCCAGGGTAAATTATACTTTGGAATCAGCTCATGCAGCAGGTGCCTGGCACCTGCTCAATCTGTCTAGAAGATTTGCGGTGCACAAATGAGGGGCCTGATTTGTCCTACTCCTGCTTGCTCATCCACATCTGCTGGAAGGTGAACAGTGAAGCCAGGATGGAGCTGCTGATCCACAGTGAATACTTGCGGTTGGGAGAGGGGGGATGATCTTGATCTTCATAGTGCTGGCACCAGGGTTCCTTCTGCATTCCTGTCAGCGATGCTGGGCACATGGTGGTGCCACCAGACAGCACTGTTGGTGTACAGGTCCTTGGAGATGTCTACACCACACTTCATGATGGAGTCAAAGGTGCTTTCATGAATGCCGCGGGAATCCATACCAAGGAAAGAGGGCTGGAAGAGTGACTCTGGACCCTGGAAGCGCTTGTTGCTGATGGTGATCACCTGGCTATCGGGCAGCTTGTAGCTCTTCTCCAGAGAGGAGGAAGATGCAGCTGTGACCATCTCCTGCTCAAAGTCCAGGGCGACATAGCACAGCTTCTCCTTGATGTCACAATCTCCCGCTCAGCCATGGTGATGAAGCTGTCTGTAGCCACGCTCTGTCAGAATCTCCATGAGGTTGTCTGTTAGGTCCTGGCCAGCCAGGTCCAGAAGCAGGATGGTGTGGGAGAAGGTGACCCCATTGCCAGAGTCCATGACAGTGCCCGTGGTATGCCCAGAGGTGAAAAAGGACAGCACAGCCTGGATGGCCACGTACATGGCTGGGGTGTTAAAGGTCTCAAATATGATCTGAGTCATCTTCTCTCTGTTGGCCTTGGGGTTCAGGGGGGCCTTTGTAAGCAGCACTGGGTGCTCCTTGGGGGCCACATGCAGCTCACTGTAGAAGGTGTGGAACAGATCTTCTCCATGTCATCCAGTTGGTGACAATGCCGTGCTCAATAGGGTACTTCAGGGTCAGGATACCTCGCTTGCTCTGGGCCTCGTCGTTCACACAGGAGTCCCTCTGGCCCATGCCTACCATCACACCCTGATGCCAGGGCGGTCAACAATGGAGGGGAACACAGCCCAGCAGGTGTCATCGCCAGCAAAGCCAGCTTTACACATGCTGGAGCCATTGTCAATGACAAGGGAGGCAATTTCTTCTTCCTTGGTGATTGCAGCAGTAGGGTGGGGGAGTGGTGGAGAATGTGGAGTGCAGGCCGGTGGCAGTGACTGAGACCTGCAAAGTTACTATTTTCCCCTTTGGAATTATCAGCATCTTGTGGGAAGATATTTTGAGTCTATGTAAATAGCTTGTTTCTCATCCTGCTCTCACCCACCAGTTTTAGCATTAATTGGTGATTCTTGCCCAAATAAATTGTTACTATGACAGCTGCCAAGTGGTGATTTTTTCTAATTCCATCTTTCCCTTCACGTTTCTTAGTCCAGATTCTATTTTATTTATTTATATCACTGTGAACTGATGGACTCTTATTTTCTTCTTTGAGTCATGTTCCCTCGCTATTGTTATTTTGTTTGGTGCTCAATTTGTCCCGTTAGGACAATGGAAGCCCCATTTGAGCTGGTTCCAGTATCCTTCTGATGTGTCCCCATCATTTTTGTATGTGTACTTGCTTATTTCCTGGTAAACTGGAGGCTCATATGGATTTTTCATACCAAAATCAGGAATCAAGCATTTCTCCAACAGAGAATTTGTACCTCAACTTTTAAAAAGAAGGAAAGAGGAGATGGGAGAATACAAAAAAAAAATTGTAGTGTGTTTTCAATGATTACGTTTAATGAGCCAATCATATAAAATATGATTGTCTTTGCCTTAAGGCTACATTTGTGATTCTTCTTAAATGTGGGTCCAAATAACCTCTTTGCCTCCCCCACCACACTCCATAAAGGGCCCTGTATTACGGGTTGAACATCCTGAATCTGAAAATCTGAAATGCTCCAAAATCCAAAATTTTAGCGTGCCAGTATGATGCTATAGGTAGAAAATTACACATCTGACCTCATGCAGTACAATGTCACAGTTAAAACACAGGTATGTTGAAAGCATTGTTTAAAATTACCTTCAGGCTCTGTACATATGGTATAAAATGAAATATAAATGAATTTCGTGTTTAGTCTAGACCTGGATATCTTCCCCAAGGTAACTTGAGATATACATATTTCTAAAATAGGAAAAAATGTGAAACATTTCTGGTTGCAAGCATTTTGGGTAAGGAATATTCATCTACAGTGATGCTCAAATGGGAAGTTGGAGGGAGTTCCACAGTGTCAGGATGCATCTCAGTGAGCTCAGCTCTGGGTTCTCTGAACCCTCACTTTGCTTCCCAGCCCCAAAAGAATTTTGCTTCCCCCGGTACCAGGGATTG